CAAGTCCAATGACGTAAAAGTCTTTTATCGGTCCGCTTGACTGTCTTGCACAGACCTCCAGGAGGCAGGTCGGAGCAGAGCAGCGCTGCATTCCATCCAATCACATGAAGAAGCCACAGTGATGCCTTTAAGAACCAGAAATATGTTCGCTTTGACAGTTACAATCATATAATCATATCTTTTTCTTCTCCTCGAGATTGTTTTTGTTACATTACCGCATGTAACCTGTCAAAATGTCCTAAAATAATGAATACTGAACTTTTGTGGGGATAACAGTGTGCCTTTATTTTCGCGTTACAGTACAAACAATAGCCGATAACTCGTATTGACATTACAGCGACCCCGTAACAACCTGAAACTTTCAAGTTACGTTATTTTATTCAGTTTCATTTATCAGCGAACATAAACATAACCACAGCAACCTTTACCGACTGTCAACATTTACCGAATGTGTTATCCTTGATTGAAGCTCCGTACATTACAAGGTGTACACGAACGCAGCACTGAACCTCAGCAACTGTCATGGCGTCTTCCTTGAAGGGGGTTTGGTACTGGAGAAAGTAGCTGCTGTCACTTACCAGTTTCTCCGTACTAAAGCGCAGCTGACGTGGACTGAAGAGTTTTGGGGCGCCGGTAGTTAAAATGGGGACCGTCCATGCTAAGGTAAAGCTTCTTTCATCCTAACCTTCAGGTGCATTTTATATCATGACCTCCCTGCCCAGTGAATGCTGCAGGCTACAGAGTCACCAGCATGTGTACTTCACGTACTGTAAAAAGCGACGCGTCAAACTGGTTGATTGCTCTTGTTGATTAAACGGTTACACTTTGCCTTTAGCTCACGTAACGAGGCGAAACTGAGTTTTTTCTCCGCTGGTTTGTCACCACGTTTTAGATAAAACATCTGGTTATAGTGATTATATTTTAGGGACATTTGCGCCTTCGAGTATTTAAAGGAAAACACTAAAAATTCACACCTGTGTGAACATTATTTCCCAGTACTTGCCCAGACCAGTATTGTCATTCATTTGTCATGTCCCGCACGTCTTTACTGCGTTTCAGTACTCCTGTCTTTGCTAGTACTCCACGTCCAGCGACTTTCACCGACATCAGACACTCCTTCCTGAAAGCTCCACCCACTGACCCTCTTGCCCTTTCTTTCCCAGCTGGTTTTTAAAGGTGCCATACGAAGTGTTTTTTCCAATTTGAGACTTTTTATTTCCTTCTCGCACTGTGACGTAAACCATTTTCAAAATACAAAATACAGCATCAGACCTGGAAAAATAGCAAATGTAACTTTTTTCTGGACACTTTTTCAATTAAATATGTTGCAAAAGTAAATTTTGTTTCAGGTATGCTGTGTTTCCTTGCATTAATGCACTTTATTTGTTGTTGGTGCAGAGTCTGGATCCACTCCCAATGCATGGCCGGGACTTGGATGTCCACCCTGAAGATTTCATGGAGACTCCAGACCAAGGGCAAGACTCCAAACAGGAGATCCTTGAAAACAAAGATGTGAGTAGTTGTCAAAGCAAAACATGCTAGTTGTATGTTTGTGTGGTTTATTGTTTTATGTCTTGTATGTTCTGCAGCTTTGGATGTTCATATTAAACATGGCCAAGTATCAACTACAAA